AGGACCCCTCTGTCAAGCTCCTAAAGTTTGCTGATGATACAAAATGGTCATTGGTCTCATCTGAGATGGCGATGAGTCAGCCTACAGACGGGAGGTTGAGCAGCTGGTCCTGTGGTGTAGCCGCAACAACCTGGAGCTGAACACGCTCAAAACAGTAGAGATGACAGTGGACTTCAGGAAGAGCCCCCCCCCACCTTACCCCTATCACCATACTTGGCAGCACTGTATCAGCAGTAAAGTCCTACAAGTTCCTGGGCTCCACTATCTCCCAGGACCTGAAGTGGTCATCCAACATCAGGACCATCACCAAGAAGGCACAGCAGAGGATGTACTTCCTGCGCCACCTCAGGAAGTTCGACCTGCCCCAGGAGCTGCTGATACAGTTCTACAGAGGAATCATCGAGTCTGTTCTCTGCACCTCCATCACTGTCTGGTTTTTATTCTATTTTTATCTCATTTCCTAATGAACATTCCTTTGTCTGTCTGCATTGTTTACTGCCTGTTTATACTGTTTATTTTGCATTGCTTGCACTGTTTGTTGCTTGTTAATACTGCTTATTTTGTTATGCTACACAGCCTTATGTTGGTATATTGTTTATTTGCCCCTTGCCTTGCATGGGGATATGTACATACACATTGAGAGCCACTGTACTAGAGTCAAATTCCTAGTGTCCAACACACCTGGCCAATAAAGCTGATTCTGATTTTGCACTGATCTACATTTCCATTAAATACACTGACTCCTTGAACATTTTTAATTTTTCTAGAGCATGAATTTCAATTCAAATAAAAAGCCAAAGGGTTTTAAATTCTTACCTTTGATAGAGACAATTAATATGTTTCAAGCATATCTACTAAATATTGGTAAATGCTGTACTTGTATAGCACTTTTCTACACTTGACAGCACACTTTCACACTACTTGGCCATTCACCCATTCGCACTCACAAACGCTCACACATTCACACACCGGTGTTAACACCGGGAGCAACTGGGGGTTCAGTGTCTTGCTCAAGTACACTTTGACATGTTGACTGGACAAGCTGGGAATCAAACCGCTAATTCTCCAGTTAGGAAATGATCCACTCTACCTCCTGAGCCACAGCCGCCCCCAACAGCATCTTTTGCAACATCTTTATACAGTAAATGTGTTTCTAATTGGATGTATCTATAATGAGGAAACCTGAACTTTCTATTGCAATATGATCTCATTAAACCCTTGAAACAACTTTGCAGGAATAATATTATGTCATGTACATGAGTGAGTGTGTAGACGACCAAATGTGTTCTTTTCTATGCATGTGATATTTCACTGACTGAACTTTGTACATCCATGTTTTGGTTTCTCTACGTGTGTGTGTGTGTCACTGCAGAGTGGGTGGTAGTGCTGGTGGGGGGTTTGGTTTATGTAGGTAGGCCATGGGTCATTAGTAGAGATCAAGCCTCCCTAATGAGTTCTGGGTCCTCGAGGGGCACCCCGGCATCACACACTGCACTTCCCACGCCAAGTTCTCGAGCTTCTTGACTCCACACTGCCCCCTACTGGGAAACCTTACCCCTTCACCACACTGAAAATGTACTTTATAATTTATACATTTCTTTTGCCAAGCCCTGTTCACACTCACAGTTTGTCTTTAATATTTAATATTTGTTTTAGTGTCACCACAGGCTCTACTGCACATTTTGACCTTTTGAGTTTTGCTACTGTTTACATACTGTACGGCTTTTAATACATCTTTTGTCCATCTGCCCTTTTCCAGAGGAAAAATCCCACAGAAAGACATGGAGCTGACATTTCCAGGAATGAGTGGAGACTTCACCAGTGAGAACTTCTCTTCCACATGGTATCTCATAGAAAACCATGCGGGCTCTAGGTAGGTTTTTTTGTTATAACTAATTTTAAGCTTCCACCTCTCATAACTACTAATATGAAAGGGGAAAAACACAAAGCAAAAATGCAAGTTAAAGTAAAAATATGTTTTATTTTCTTGGCGTGCACTGCATTTTTGTCCTCAACTGAGGTAACTAGACTAGGAGCACAACAGACCGGATATTTACAGTGTGATGTGGAGGCAAAAGCACTTCAGTCACTCCATCAAAATGAGTGGGTGTCTGGCATGTCCTGCTTACTACTTGCAACTGGTGCTATTTTGCTGGGGTGCCTTTTCAGAAGGCCTGGCACTCCTCCACTAACACTCTGGCAGGTGAGTTTAGTAACAAATCCATGTGTTAGGAAAGCGCTATTGCCTCCTACACCCTAGCTTGCAAGACAGGTTCTAGCTGTGAATTTTTTTTTTTTTTACTCTTCAGTGATAAACTGCATATATTTGGACAGTGGGGCAGATGAAACAAAACATTTGAAGACATCGCTGTGGCCTTGGGGAATGGCAATGCACAGTTTTTACTGTTTTACTGAATGCTAAATTGAAAAGAAAGGTTGTACAGAGCTGTATAAATTTGCTATGCTTGATGTTATGGCATCTGTTTTGAGGCTTTATTTTTGTGGCTGAATCTCTGCATGGTCAGTTGGTTCTTCTCAGGTATGTAGATGCAGCAGCCTGCCTACTGTCTAGTTGACAGTCTTGTTAGGGCAGAGGAGAGTTATTTTGGTTTCCTCTGGCTTCCTCTTCCCCTGCTTAGCCTTCCAGTAACCCAGACCCCAGGATCCGGCATGACCAGGGCCCTCTGTTTGGACCTTGCTAGGTGACTGTTTCTTCCTGCAGAGGAAACCTCACTCAGAACATTGACACACGTACTCACTCCGGGCCTCCCACGTTGTATCCGTAATGTTTCTCTGCACAGAGATACATGTTTATGTGCGCTACATAAAAGCTGTGTAGTTAAACATGCCTTGACAACAAAACAGTAAATAATATGAATGTTATGTAGCCCTGTTATCCTGGCCAATAGTGCTGATTCTGATTCTGCTGAAATGGTTACTTGGTCAATTAATCCAGTAGGTTCAACAGTTCTGACAGCCGATTGGCATTTGCTCATTCTGCCATTTTAAATAAAAAGATTTTGCTGCTTTTCCACCTCCAAGGCGTGCGCACTGTAATGGAAACAAACCTAGAACCTAAGAGGGTGACTTGGTAATCGGCGGCGACCGTGGTGTGGTGGGTAGAGCAGTCGTCTCCCAACCACAAGGTTGGCGGTTTGAGTCTCGGTGCCAGCAGTCCACGTGTCGAAGTGTCCTTGGGCAAGACACTGCGCGCCCACCCCCCCCCCTTTGCCCCTCGGGGTATAACCATGTCTGATGGTTAAAAGCCATCGGTTGTGTTGGCGCCGCAGATGGCTGCCATCGGAAACAAATTCCTTGTGTGTGTAAAAACATACTTGGCCATATAATTCATTCATTCATTCTTATTTTTTTGTATTCACAGTTTTGAGCAGTTGAAGATGGCAGCCACTAACCTGAAGAAGCAGGCTACCAAGAAGAATGAGGGGAGTCTGGCCTATGTGAAAGGAGGCCTCAGCACGTTCTTTGAGGCCCAGGATGCACTAGCAGGTGAGTGGGATTAACACATTTTTGTGTGCTGTGTAATTGCACCAAACTGTCTACAATTGAAACACAAGCTCCAGATTATCACTCTTCATCTCTGCTCAGAAAAGAGCTCTCGTATTTTGGAAGGTGTGCAAGTGTGTGTCTCCGGATTTTTCCCCCTACACGTGGTTTAGCAGCGATTGATTAAAGAGACTCATTTGGATGCTTTGTGAAAAGCCTCCTGAATTACAGTTACACTAGCCAACCACAACACAGCTAAGCTACCTTCATTAATATGAGATAAACTCTCACCTGTCACACACAGTCTCATTTGAGTCTCCCTAGCTCCTGGAAGTGGACATGCACACACAGAGAGACACACATACACTTGTTGACCTTCAGATGCCGAAAAGATTTCAAGGTTGTAAAGAGTGACTGCTGTCGCTCTGCCACATACCTCAAATCAATTGTTCACTTCATCATTCATACGTTTGTCTGTTTACTCTCTGCTCCCGCCATAGCCACTCACTTACTTCCCCTTACTATTTATACATGCACTTTTCTGCCTCCATCAGTATTATTATTGCTTTCCGTATGTTTGTGCCCCGGTTGTGAGAGAAGCAATGTTTTCATTGTTATTGGCTGGATCTAAATAAACGGAGCAGCCCAACACAATGCAGGCCAGAATATTAGGACTGATAGTGCTGATAACAGGCCCATTATGACCAGTGGGAACAATACACAGTCATTCTCACATTCAGACTGAGTGTGCCTACTGTGTGCATGCTGCCTCAATGGGAAATGTACAGCAGTCCCCAGAGATGGGGAAAACAGTGCACTGTGGATGAACCTAAGTGACCTTTGAACCAAGAGAGCACACCGATGCTGACCAGTGTCACAGGATGAGATTCACTGTGTTGGTCCGGAATATAAGACTCTGATTATAAGATGCCCCATTTGCTTTACAACACCAGATTTTTGAATAAGGACTCTTTGAACCTAAGGGACATTTTGAATAAAATAATATAGATGGATGCTTAGCACCTTTTAGATGTTTTCTCATATTTAAGAAATAGTTCAAAATAACTAGCAAACATTACAAATTATAGTCAAGTGGTCTCTTTAATCCTGTTGTATTGTTTCAAGGTGAATCAACATTAACCAGTGGAAGCAGGTATGTTTCAAAAGTTTTATCTTAAGAACAGCTGAATTTGTTGTATTGAGGAAATTTGGTCAATATGCTGTACATATTTCAAGCTAATATCCTCATCCTTGAAGCTGTTGCATCCGGTTGTTTTTACCATGCTAACTCTGAGAGACGAAGCAGTCCAAGTAACTTCAAAACAGTGCTGATTTATTCAATGAACACAGGTAAAAATTAACATTACACGCTCCGGTATCTTGCACCTCCAACATGCACGCAGGCAGCTGAAAGATGAAAGACCCCGAACCACAACAGGCCTATACATTATATCACTTCAGGCTAACCCCATACTACAGAGAGAGACGCCAAACCGTGACGTCTCCCGGTGCCAGCTTTGCAGCTGGCCAGAGCAGTAGTCACAGCATGAAGAAAATCAATGTGTGATTGTCTGTTGATTATGTGGTGTGTAGCTAAAAACATTCTAACACGACCTCTAGTGACATGTTATGACATTAAACATAAGAAAATATTATGGCTATGACTACAGTTATACACGTCATAATAATAATATTAAACATTCTGTCTTCTAACAGTCATCGACTTTCTATCTAGTTATCCTTGACCATAAGCAACTTGCAGCAACTCATGAGAATGACTAAGCATTTAACAGCCAGAGCTAGACATCCTGTCTACTCTAAACATTTCTAATACATCAAGTATCTAACCAATATCTATCTGACTAAAAATACCTAACAAAGCATTTTCTCATAAAAGTGGATTATGAAATACTTACATTAAAGTGCAAGGGGAGCTAAATTTTGGCGCCCCTCAGGAGGTAGTGCGGAGGGTGTGCATGCAGAGCAGTACCCTGTGATTGATTAAACGTTCACTCCTTCACATCTGAACTATTAACATTAGAAGCACGGTGTGTAAACATGGGGTCTTCAGTGAGTGGACCGTGGACAAAGCGATGAAGACGTCACATTTCTGCAAGTTTGTGTTCTGCTTGTTCACCTGCTGTTAAACTGCTCTTACAGTCTCGGTTACGGTCTGATTGTTGCACTATGGAGTGATCCTTAAACATCCTCTGCTCTCGCGCTGCTCAGCTACAGTATGTGTGAATGAGAGCAGCACAGCTCCTTTCCTCTCTAAACAGAGACCGACACAGGGATAGATACAGTGTAAAAGCAAAGTAGGACGGTCCTCGTCAACCTGTGAAGTTGTGCTGGGTGACGGTTAAGGGAAGCATTGGGTGTACTGCTCATTAGGTTCTGAAATGCAGCTGAATTCTTTAGGCTAACAGCCATTTCTTCCTCGTCAAGCTTTTTGGTCTAGGTCTTTATGATTGTTTTTATCATTTTCTAAACTGTCCTTTTTGACATTAGCTACACTTTCCACTTGTTTTCACTTGTAACGTTTTTTCTTTGTAGTAACAAAAACAATGTGCAGGTTGTACTGTAGCTTCTACAAAGAACATTTCATTATCTCTGTATGTGTGTATTATGACATGGCATTATATCTTCAGACCAACAGGGTACTTTACCAACATGACTTAAAAGTTCATTTTTAAACTGTCTGACTCGTCTTCTCGTTGTGACTCACTACAGCATCGTCTCTCTGCCAGAATTTGGTTCTTAATCATAAAAAATGAAGTGGTTGCCCAGAATGGATAATTCAAGTGGAGATATTCTGTACACTGGGTATGGTTGGCCAAACCGACATTCCAGTCAGCACGCTGCTCGCAGCCAGCCAGCTGGAGACAGCTGTGCAACAGCTCACTGCCAGGCCTAGTTAGCACAGCTGTCTGAGCAACTGTGAATCCTTTCTTTGTCTCTAAGCAGCATTTGGCAGGTTTCTGTTAGTCTGAATAGGTCCAAATGAACCTCACCTGAGATGTCGCTGTGACAGTTTAAAGGAAATTAGCTATGAAGAAAGAAACAAAAAGGGCACTTGTGTGTTCTTGTTCAAAATATGCTCTGTTAGAAGTTGCTGTAGTGCTTCCAGCCTTCTCAGTCATCATCAGGTCATTTTTGTCTCTTCTCATGTTTATTTTCAGTTCTGCTTGCATTTGAGAATTTTACTGATGACTTTGATAGATTTATGGAGTTTTCTTTTTTAATGAAAGCATATTGCTGCTGGCAATGTGGAAACAAGGTAAAGCTGTTGTTACCCAAATTCTTTTATTGAAAGCGCGAGAAGTGAAGACAGGAGAGGACTGTTTAAAATCAACAGAAAGTTTACTGGACATCTGAGCACAGGTGAGGTCCATACAGCGCTGGGATCAGAGAGACAGAGCTCTCGCAGGAAATCCATTCTCTGAACCACGAGTTACGTTTTCACAGTACTTTTAAGTTCTTGGGCTGCTCCGCCATGGACAGGGGTGCAACCTTCAGTAGTTTGTGATCCTATTGGCCATTTGGTGTGAGCCGGAGCTCGCACTTCCTTGTTGGAATGTGGTAAAATCTAGGTGTGCGTGTGTGTCTCAGGTGGCGGCTTGATTTTAATCAAGAGTACCGAACAATGGGTGGCCTGAGTTGCAGGCCCCCTGTGTGTGTGATGCTAATAAGTATGCTAAACTAGCCAGGTGGTCATCTCAGGTTGTGGGCCCCCTGGCTCTGCAGGGCACCCTAAGACAAGGCAGAACTTGGGATATGCTAAATGGGTCGAGGCATGGGTGTAAAACAGGCCAAAATGTCTTTGTTAAAATGTAAATAGGCTGTCTGGTCACCAGGAGATGCAGCCATCCAGTCTCAACAGAAGTTACAGAAAATAAGCAGATTCTGCTTCATTACAATTGTAAGATGTATAAGCAAGGAAGATAAATGTATTAAAATTAACCAAAGCTCAGTAGTTCTGGACAATCATCACTAAAGCTGTAATATGTATAAACAAGGAAAATAAAGTTATGAAAGGGTAACTAAAGGGAACTATAGGTATGAGAATTAACTAAAGCTTATAAAGTAACTAGAGCCTATAAGAATCAAATCTTACAATGTGAAATCTGGGAAAGGAAATGAGGCAGATAGAAAATATTTAGAGCAACCAGCTGGACTCTGACTGTATAGTGTCTGTGGGGTTTCTCTCCCTCCCTCTCTTTTTCTTGTTACCACCAATTGCCTCTTAATTGCTATTCAGTATCGCTAACGATCTTCAATAGAAAGAAGAAAACAAAATCCTATGTCTCTTAATGAACTATGAGCTCTGTGTTTAAGCACATAAGGTAGTTTAGACTTCTGCATCCACACTCAGGTCCTATTAATTAGAGTTCTGTTTGAGTTAGTTGGCTAATGTCCTCTTTTGCCAAATGGAGAAACAAGACTGGGAACTCCAGCCAGTGTTTTAATCCTGAGGTCTATTCATAGAGCTTACCAAGCACAGACTGATAAAGGGGCCGATACTGACTACATTTACATTGGGGCAAGCTGCTTTTAACACCAGTCATTCATGACCTCACGTTATTTCACATAAAATTGACAAAACATCTCATGTGAACTACCACAGACCGGTGAAAGAAGCTGCAGACCTAGAGCATGGCCACTCTTTGGTTACAGAGCTGCAGGGACCAATTGAGCCATGCTTCTGAGACAGAGATGCCGTGTCGAATTGACTGGCTGACAGTTTGCCAGGGAGCCCAGGGTTGTTTCTGCTAAAATGTTGAAATCTGAGGTTTTTCATTGTTGTATGAAAAGGAAGTCTCCCAGTGTTGCAGGAAATGGAACAGCTACCGTGCTCCAAAAATGCCAGATTCCCAGGGCCTATTCCCTGAGCCCCCAGCCCCACAGGAGTCAAAACATATCCAGCTTTAGAATCCAGGGACACTGTATTTTTATTCTTATTCATTATTTTCCCTCAGAGGTTCCAGGAAGTGAAGCAGGAGCTACAGCTCTTCCTCAGGTCCTAGCTGCGTGTGTTATCCGGGCCTTGACCCGATGTTTAGGTTAGCTGTGACATCATCAGCCCTTCAGTGCAGAGGACACACAGCTGGCAACATGGCAAGGGGGACTGAAGATGTGAAGCAGACCTGTAGTGTGTGTGTCTTAATCTCCTTGTGTGTTCAACCCTATCAGGCCTGTACTCTCCCATATACACTCCCATGTCGACATGCTTTTGTCTGAACCTGCATCTGTTTTCTGCTGGTCGAGAGGTTCAGAAACAGGCCAGAGACGTCTGTGCTGATTGGGCACTGGCATGTTTGAACAGCATGTAGGAATACCTCGGTCTCTGCCTTGAGGCTTCTGTCTGTCAAACTGGACCCACATATTTATTTACAGAACGCTCCCCTTTCATTTTGCCTCCCGCTCCCTCTGCTGTCTCCTGAGCTCTGCTCACAGCCAGCATTTGTACAACTGTGGGAAAAAAAGAAAAGCAGACTAGAGGGAAGAGAAATGAACATTGGGTCTCCTTTTTTGTTTCAAATTTTTTTCATTCTTAACTTCATTCTTGAGATGTCTGCTTGTTGCATATTTGAATCGCTCCACAAGTATGTATGAGACGCTCTCCTAAACCATCTCCACCTCTCTTCCACTCTGTCAATAAACCCACGGTGCAGCTCTCAACACCCAGCTGCCCACTACTGCACACCATTTATTTATTCACTGGGGTAGCCGCACTGCTCACTCGGCCTCTTTTTCTCTCTCAGTTTTCTCCCTTCATTCCCTTTTTATAAATCCCCTCGGTCGTGTAAGAGCCTTCATGCTAAGTGATGGATACAAGCCGTCAGTGCCCCCCCCCCCTTTTTTTTTTTTTTTTTTTTTTTTTTTTTTTTTTTTTTTTCATCAAAGCCTATTTATGTGAAATAGAAATACTAAAGTTTAGTAGTTTCCATGGGAGCCACTTTGTATAGAATGGCTGCAGTGTGTTGCATTTGGACTTGCTATGGAAGCTCTCCACTACAGTACATAGGCAGAAACGTTAGCAGTAGCTGCACACACTGTTGCTCACAAGATAACAAACTGCAGTGTTTTTCTTAAAGCAAAAACGTTGATAGACAGCGCTCACTTTTTTCTGGGAATAAAAGATTTTGTGCCTTGTTGAGATGAATTCTCATTCCTGAGGAATAACTATAACAGAGCAGTAAGTGAGATCTGAGAAAGATTGCTTTCCCCCTCCCCACTTAGACAGCTTGTCTTATTATCTCCTGAAATGGCAAGGTTACAGTACCTACAGGTACAGAGGAAGGTTTTTTTTTTTTTTTTTTGTTGCAGTCCTTTTTGGCATCCAGACCTTCAGCTCTGCTCTCCCAACTGTTTTTGTTCAGACACTTGAATCATTTTAGATTCACATTGCCTCCAGGTCAAAGGGCTCCAAGTGTCCCAAGACCACAAAACTGTGCTGTTAATGGCTTTGGTTAGGTGAACTGATCCGGTACAGTCACAACTGGGACAAGGTCAGGTCCTCGCTGCGTGGGAACAGGCATAAGGGGGTGTTGGTTCAACAGCAGCAGCTCTAGGTGGAGAACAGGTGAGGTTATCTCCCACCTGTCGTAGGGGTAGCGCCTCTTTATTGTTTTATCTTCAGTTCCTGAAACTGAAAATGTTCTGTCTCTGGGGATTGTTTGTACTCTACAGTGTAGAGAACCTTCATTTATTTTCACATTTTTCCACATTTCTTACCAACCTCATATTGACATTTATTATTTCTCTGATTTAATTTCTCTGTGTTTTATCTTCACTCACACACAGTCCTTTACAAAATGAATTACTGCTGACTTTTGTGTTGCAGCAATCCACCAGAGACTGGAGTCTGATGGCACAGAGAGAGTGGAGGGATCAATGACCCAGCGACTAGAAAACATCCTCAACAGTAAGCATCTTTACATTTGGAGCCCATTCTCAAAAGAATGAATGATGATTTTGAAGACGGTGTTTGTTGTTGGCGCCCTCCACATAAGTTTATAGGTTCATTTTTTGGGTAAGTTTCCCAGAAAACATCCATTTACAAGTGTACCTTTAATTTTCATTCTACATATAGCATAGGATGACAAGTACATGACATGTTCCAGAAAACTCATCCTCCAAAACATTTTACCTGTTTAAATTTATTGCCTCCCTCAGTTCCTTCTTTCTGAAACTCACATTTTTTTTATTGTCAGTCTGCTTCATTGTGCCACCCACCTTTACAACGCACATTGATATGCTGTCTAAAGAACAGATACATGTACAGTATACATTCACCTTTGTGGGTCTTCCTCTTTTTAGCAAGCAGATCCTGTGTTCCCTCCCTCTCATCTCATACATGATAATGCGACTGCTCTAAAGGAGGGTCCTTTTCCCGGAGTCTAGAGTAAATAAACCTTCCAGCCGGACGTACCTTTCATCCCCACAACCTCAGACTTGAGGGCCCTTGGCCTAATGGGCTTAGGCCAGCAATCACCTCCAAAAAACCATGTATCAAATACACAGCACCAGTCAGAAAGTAGGAATGTCAGCTTCATGACAACTCCGACTCTTAAATGAAAAATGTGAAATATTCCTGTTTGGTCTCGTGCGTTAATTCTTTCAGGGATTTTGTTTTAGAGGTGGAGTTTTATTTTGGTTAAAAGAACCTTTTCAAATTTGACAGCACATCCAAGGCCACTCATGAACCCTTTTAGTTGTGCAAAGCTTCCACCAAACTGTCTGATAAGGAGACCACTTTCTCCTTAGCAGCTCACTCTCTACTTCTGCCCCTCTTGCTGTGTCAAATAGCATACAGAGCAGGAAGAAAACCAGAGACCAACAATGAGAGGGAAATGTGGTATCTACATTTATTTATATAGTATCCCAGTTTCTCATTTTCTCCTGCCTTTTTCACTCTCTGTGTTTCTGTCTTTCTTGCAGGAGCAAGTGATACAGCAGATACTCTTTTCCAAGAGGTCTTGGGGCGGAAAGACAAAGCTGACTCCACACGCAATGCACTCAACGTCCTACAGCGTTTCAAGTTTCTCTTCAACCTGCCACTCAACATTGAACGCAATATCCAAAAGGTATTATTAACCATTGACTGTATAAAATATGGGCACCATGACAGCTCCCAGAAGTAATGCCAACATGACTCTATCGCCCCCTGGTGGCAGGTTTTAGTATAGGTCATAAACATATTCCCCCTCCATGTTAGTGGATGGCACATGTTCCAAACTAAAAATTCAGATTATAAATCTTAGAAATTTTTCACAGAGGTCACTTCTGTGCTTTTGGTAGATATTATCACACTGATGTGTGTGTACAAGTGGTAATTTTTCTGGTAGGCTTGTTTTTAATAAGTAATTTGATATTAAAAGGGGTGTATTTCAGATGATATGACAGCTTTGAATGGAGGCCCGGTATGTCACTCAACTACTCGATTGCTACTGTGCAGAACCTGGTTACAGAATGCCAAGATGGCAGTCGCTATATTCACGATATTTTGGCTTCACTTTTCCATAGTGGAGGGAAGTGGTGCATCATCCATATATATACAGTCAGTGGTCTGTACACACGGTGTGCAAACAAACAGCAGAAACACCAGGACATAACATATGTAAATATCAACTACCTAAATACATGACTTTACCTTTTTCAATCACACCAGCTTTGGTCCTGTTTGTAAGACAGTCATATGAGCCCTGAGTTGTGTGTAATGGGATAGAGGGCAACACTTTCTTTGCTCTGAGTGATGGAGGTTGCAAAAATCAACTCTGCTCTCAAGATTCTCTGTGTTGTGTTTATGGTTATTTGTGATGCCATTGTTTTCATCCTGGTTTTAATGAAATTAATCTTTTCTAAACATATGGGAACAGAGAAGATGCCTACACTGTAAATCCTGTAGCTTAATATTACAGGTACATCAACTATAAAACCTACTGGCTCTCATGAGAAGCTTCCCATGCCATTACAAATCCACTACTATGTGGAACTTCATTTCATTAAAATGTATTGTCAAATATATCAACAAGTAACAAATACAGCAGAAGACATGCACTGTATAAATACATAAATATGTACTGTACATGTAAACATAACCCAAACCTATGGAAAACACACGCTGCTTAACAAATGTCGATACATAACACAGCAAGAGTTGTGACACAGACTTCAAACAGCAGAGGTTCTGTACTAGCTTTGCAGAGCTCATGATATATATGTTCATTAAAACCTCAAGTTAAATGAGGCTGGGAATTTTGTATTATGTGAGTAAACTTCACCATGCGAATATTTTCCTGGTCAGTTTTTGTGCCTTGGTGATTTTTAAGATGTTCTCAAGATGTTCAACAAATGTACATTTAGTATTTCACATTTTTGAAACATTTAGTTGTTAAACTTCCTTTAGAACTCTGAGGCCTACAAGATAAAAGGTATTCAGCACAGTGCTTTGTAATCACTGATGCTTACCTTAAAATTTAAATGTTTTTTCATTCCTATTTCTCGTACATGTGCTTTAAGGCTTTGATGGCTGTCATCCAGAGGGTGGAGCCAGAGAAGCTTAAATACAGTGTGTGTTGTGATTGATAAGTTTGCCCTCATTGTCAACTGAACTGACTTTTCTTTCCAGGGAGATTACGATGTGGTGATCAATGATTATGAGAAAGCCAAATCTCTTTTTGGTAATACTGAGGTTCCTGTTTTCAAAAAAGGTACATTTTTACTTCAACAATTAAATGAAATTAAGTGAAACAAAGCTGTATTTGAAACTTCATGGCTTTGTAAAAATTTTTGTCATTGTAAATAATTATGTAACTGTTCTATATAGTGTATGCTGAAGTTGAGACGAGGATTGAAGCTCTGAGGAGTCTCTTACTGGAGAAACTGCTGCAGACACCATCAACACTTCACGACCAGAAGCGATACATAAGGTCTTTTAACATTTTTGTAATCCTGTAGCAGCTTTTTTTATCCCGACTGTCTGACGGTTCTGTGGTCTTTATACTGTATGTTCTATTTATAACACAACAGGTTAAGTATCTCCACATTTTGCATTTTTTGTCTTTGCAAGTCATACAGTCTACACATTGCATACAGTCTGTAAGCATCACATATAAGCTCATGAGAAATGTCTTATACTCCTTCGATACACATAGCTTCTTTGACTGTATCATCGTTTACCAGAACTTCATCCATCATATCACTTTTCTCTCTGTTCATTATCCGTCTCAGCTTTCTGCTGTCCTACTTTCTTGTTTCTGTCTCTATTTTGCTCTCTCCTTTGCCTTTCTTTTTCCCTTTATCCATCTGTCCATTCAAACTTGTGGTCTTTCCTGATTTATTATTGTTAAGACCAGCCTGTCAGGATCACAGAAACCAGCTCTCAGCCACATGGCAACATCTTTCATCCTGCTACATTAGCCAAGGCTCTGAGCGACCACTCGGCTCCTGTTTACTCTTGCCGTCGATGGTGGGGGCTGCGTGAGTGTTTTGTGCGTGAGTCCTGCTCAAACCTTTGAAAGATGCCACCTAATGAGAAACAAACGAGTGGCTGGGTCATGGGATGACAGTAGAATGAGCCAGGCCACAGCGCAGTCATTTGAGAATCCACAGGTCACTGAGTGGTGTCCAGGACGTAAACTCCTGGGAGAAGGATCCGTAAGGGTGGAGATGGATGCAAGGGTGAAGTGTTATTCCTCCAGTAGAAGTTCGGTTATCAGGTTCAGGCGTATGGTTGAGCAACACCTTACTTACATGCTCCGTGTTTCAGGAAGCATCTACTTACTTTTAATTTCCCTCCTGTCTGTGTGAATTTGTTTTGTGCCCTTTATCCTGAAAATGCATGCTGAAATGTTTATTTATAGAATTTGCAGTTATACATTTTCTGCTCTCTCCTCATCTTTGAATCTGAATGATTCACTGCTCTGTGTTTGTTTTGTGCACATGTAGGTACCTGTCTGATCTGCATGCTCCAGGTGACCCAGCATGGCAGTGCATCTATGCCCAGCACAAGTGGATCCTGCAGCTCATGCTAAACTGCAGAGATGAGTTCATCAGTGGCCAGAGAGGTGACTAACACATGTTTGAGCTGACTTGCTTTAGATATGAAATGAAAAGCCCCTGTTTAGCATTTCCAATCAGGCGGCTAGTGGATGCCATGTGAGTCTGAAGGTAGCTGAGGGAAGAGAGAGCCAGCTGCCTCTCCGTCATACTAGCTCTCTGCCTGCATTCCCCTCTCCATCACCACCCTCCCCTGCCTGTTCTGCTCGAGGCCCACATGTTTATTTTTTCATGAATGTATGAATAAGATGAAAGTGAGGGAGCATTGGCTTTGGATTTAGGTTTCAGGGTTGCACACAAACTCTCTTTCACACTCACACACAGCTTCACAGATGGATTGGAACAATTAACCCCAATTAAGCTGTTCCTCTGTTAACTCAGCCAGCAGAAAAATGTGGATGTGAAACCATCCGCTCAGGAAGAACAGCAATTCACCAAAGACACTTAAACACACACATGCACACTCCTTTACTCATACACAAAGTCACCCGCACAGATACATTGCGAGTGGGTGGCTGCCTCACATAGTGCAGCTGGAGCGTAAACATGTCTGAGGCTAAGGGTAACACTGGGGCTCAGGCATGATGGATCTGGAGGTTGGTTTGCTCCCTGCCTCCCCACAGTGAAATATCAACTTGACTATCATGTCAGGGACAGCCCATTTTCAGTACACACATCCATTCCTCAGCAGAGAAACATGTGGCAGAGCAAATCTGAAATTGCATGCAAATCACGCAACCACACTATTTAGAACATTACTGCATTAGAAAAATGCACAAAAACACATACGCTGAAATGTACCTTCACATTTGGTTCATTTACTTTGTTATAAGACATAAAATGGAGCTTCAAATGAATATTGTGTCCAAAAAACTGTGTGTATGCTACGTTGTGTGGGTGTCTCTGCTTAGGTCATCTCTGCAGTACAAGGCTCGGGGCAGAGAAGCAGGTAGTACTGGCTGTGTGTTGGTTGCTTACTCCTTCTGCTGGAAGGAGGGTGTTTATCTTGTGTTTTAGGAGCTGTGTTTTCTTTCATTACATGGTCTTTTCTTTGGTAGGAGTTTGGTAGGACTTTCCAGAGGTGGTCATTGATCCACCTGCCTGCCTCTTTTTCACCTGGCTTCTTTTTGGTGTAACTCTCCCAATCACCTTGTGTATCAGGGGATGTAACAAACACAGCAAAAGTTCAGTGTATTCAGGCAATTTCTTTCTGAGACACTTAACAATGCCTGATATGACATACAGTATTTCTGATGGTGCAGAGGTTGATGGAAAATTATGAGGACGAGGCTGCAAGACGTAGGAATTGAATTAACCAACTAAGGAAGTAGGTGGATGCTCACATCTCACTAGAGAGAAGAGGTGTGGAGGAAAACGCAACCACACATCAGGAGAAAGGTTACGAAGATGACAGAAAGGCGTCTTTGGTCTTCTCTGGCAGAGCTCTCTGACTTCCTGCCGATTACTTACACTCATGAAAGGCACATAAATACTTTACTTATATGACTCCTTTGGTTTTTATCAGACCTAACAGATCAACTTCTGATAAAACAAAAAGTCTTGCTGTGTGTGATGCTCAGTTGCAGCAGTTTGTTTTGTTGAGAATGAGAAAGGTTATCATGTGACCTGCAATTCTGGCAGGGACCATTACGCCAGCATCTTACATCCCAGTGCTGTTCCAAGGAGTTTTCTTGTGGTGTGTATGCTAGTGAAGCACAGAAAACAACAAATCAAAGACCTTGTCAAAACAGCACAAGTACTGGTCAGAAACTTCACAGGGTACCCCAAAGTCTTTAAACAAGTGACAGTGGATTTTTCTGTTCTTCATATACACACACTGACAAAAGCTTGCACGTGTACAGAAAGGTGCATACCGCCCTTCTGGTTTTCCGTACTTTTTGCTCTTGTTGTTTGCCACAGACAGCTGTCTCCTGTCCCTTCTGCTCCCACACTCTCCACCTCTTCCCCTCACACACCCACACATACACACCTGGTAGCTATTTACCCTACCCAGTTTTTGCAGCTTACGTCTTGCCCAAGTACGAAACCCGTGCCTCCTGAAACACCCCTCCACTGGGCAGCCCTTGAAAAGCCACCATCATAAAACCACTTCCACTACGTTCCCCCAGCCCCGCTCTTCATACCTCCCCTTCCTACCCTTACCACTCCTCTCATGTAGCCAGGAGCCCCCTTACCGGTACCTCACAGCCAACACCTCTGCTGGCTGCCTCCTCTTCCTCCTCGTATCACATTTACCAGCTCTGTGTATTCATAAGCTGTCTTTTATGCAGTTGTCAGCATCACACATGACAAGGGTTATTCCTCTGTGATGGTTCAGCCATGTCTGCAGTAACTGATGTCATTCTCTCTGCCTCCTGTGTTTTCCAGTCAGGACTATGAGGCCAGAGGCCGTTCTGGTGAAGTTGTTATTCTGTGAATTGCCCTATAAATTGCCTTAAATGTGAAATAGACCCATCAATCTTTGTTGGAACAAAAGCCTGAAACCAGTTTCCTTGTGAGGAAGCATAGCAGTGCAAGTTGCTTCCGTATGTGTACACGCTCCCATCGTGCCCTGGTGCTGCAATCTGACTCTGCTTGTTTCAATTATGAACTGCAGTGCTCTTATTTCCTGTACACTGTTTCATCTGCCAGTGTCAATACAATTAGCAGGAAATTTTCTTCATAGAAAAATAAGTTTGTCAGTGAACAATTAGAGGGTTTCTAGAGTTCATGCATTTGACTGGGAAACATGCGGTTGTGATTTTAGGCTCAGTCAGTACCACTCTAGGAGAAACGTGTTCATTATCACATTTCAGTTAGTATGTTCAACATGTTTGCAGTCAAATCAGTGCTAGGTGGTTTGTTGTTGAGGGGCATCTTTCATGAAGTTCAGGAACATATCTTTTTTGTTATTTACTATCTATTTGTATAGCTGGTGAAAACCTGAATACAATAAAGAAGAAATTAGAGATACAAGCTGAGAATCCACATTTAAAAATAGTGTGTGCAAACACTTGTAGTTTTACCATTTGTTGTTGTAGTTTTTACCTTCTTGGGAGATTGTCATTTACTTTATCTCCATTTTTATCTTTACTTCTGGTTATCACATCTTCTCAGCAGAACTTTGTTCACTGTAAAATGTGGTGTTCAGTGTCTTTGGCAGGAAACGACTTACAAATATCAGTCACATGCTTTAAAAAAACGCAAGATGAAAATTTGTCTTTTATATTTTGCGGTGTGGGATTTACACTACATTTAAACAGGAGTCTGTAAAGTGTGTGTGTGTGTGTGTGTGTGTGTGTGTATTCAGACAGAAAGCTGGCTTGTGCGTGTGGTTGGGGCCAGTGACTCTTTGGGGAACAGGAACTCATCTGACCTGCATAGAGGCCTCAGACCTTATGAGGAAATGAGCACACATTGTATGAGTATCTTCAACACGCATACACAAAGGTTCCTATATTTTAAAGCCTTTAGCAAGACAACATAGCAGCATAATGAATAGCTGAACATGCAAAGCTGCCCTACACATGCACACTCGGATATAAACTGTTACACACAGAGACTTGTACATTCTGAGGACTCTGGGGGTTCAGTCGACACCTGGATCAACAGCAGCTCTCATCCCTCACACAGAGAAAGGCCGCACAGTTTCATATGGTCTATGAGCTGTGTGCGTGTGTGTGTGTGTGATGTGAGGAAGCTTCATCTGTTTACAGATAATCTGACTCAATTGAGAATTTCCTTGCATTTTCTAGACTGGATTTTGGTGTTGTGTGCATAGCCATCTCGACCACATTTGCTCCTCTGCTTGGGGATTTCTCAGTGCTTGCTTGCACACTACATTCAGCCTGTGACTCACCAGTGTGTGTGTCAGACATATGTTTTGGAAATGTGGCCATCCATCGCCCTTCGTTTAGACAAACTACATGTAGGCGTATTGCAGCGTTGCACAAGCTTGTTTCATTTTCATTGTAGTAAATTCGATCCCTTCTCAGCACTGCGGTGTTTCACTTTCATTCCTGTTTAACTTTCACCCTTTCTTCTCTTATCCTTAAGTTATCTCACAGACTCATTCTACTAAAGTTGTCTCACTAGCTTAGAGGGGAGTGTGTGGTTGCAGAAGGACTTTCTCATCCTGTTGCTGCAGCACAGCTCTCGATTGCCATCTAGTGGAGCTCTAGTGCTTTTCCTATGAATCAGATGTAACCGAGTCCATTGTGGCCAAAGTAAACCCACTTCACCCCAGTGTTCACAAAGCCCACGTCCCTGTTTCCTCACCCTGGAAACAGTGGGATATTCTCTCAGCTGTGGGCCAGGGCAAAGATGTATCAGAACACACAGAAAGGCCAAGAGGGCCAAGGAAAGATTGTTTGGTGTGAAAGCCTGCTGGGCTTATTGAGGAATGTGGAATTATGAAAATTTGCTTATTTGATATCTCAAGTATGTGTTTCTTTCTCCCCCTCTGAGATTATTTCTCATCTCTTTCCACAACCCCCCACCCCTCCTTTCATTATGTTTATCAGTGGGTGTCGGAGCTCTAGACCTGGAAGGGGATACCCGTCCGTCAGCCCTTGGCAGACTCAGCCACACAACGTCTTTGAAGAGAGGAGGCAGCCTACGATCACAGCGACCCAGCAGTGAGCACCACTGTACTTCACAAACTCACCCACACGCCTGGTGCTTGGGAGGGGCTTCCCTGTCTGAGCTGAGACTCTGAGTGTGCATTTGTTTGTTTGTGCGACACTTTGTGTCATGTATAGTGCTTAGGGGAATCACAGTATATGAGTATAATGGAATTGCGCTGCGGTAATAGCACAAACAGAAAACAAACAGTTGGAGTGTGCTGTGCCAGGAAGTTCAGTATTTTGCTCTGTGATTATTTGAATTGCAGAAGCATTGCCATTTTAAACTCAGTGGTACATGTTATCATACATCTAGTCTCTTTTTTTAGTTTCTTATAAATTGGGTTTAGATAAGTATTGAGTATCAGAGGGTTTGTGTAATATGTATGCATCTGTTTTCCAGCCTGGTGCTTTGAAACCCCACAGCAGGTGCAGTTTGTGGAGAAGCTGTCAGACGTGGTGATTGGTCAGCTGCCCAACTTCTGGAAGCTTTGGATCTCTTATGTTAATGGGAGTCTTTTTAGTGAGGTAAATACTTGAGAAGCTTATGCAGTCAGAAGAAAAGTAGTCAGTTCAGCCAAATCTCAAAAAAAAAAAAACTGTGGATGGTGTTTTCTCACGCTTCTCTAATTGCTAGAAATAGTTTTGGTTCTTTTGCCAGGTTCTGACAGCTTTCACCACTTGTGGTTCTTCGAAAAGTGGTGGTTTCTAAAAGATCAACAACAACACATCCTTCTAGAAACAATATCCCTGCTAGTCTGGACAGCCCATAGCATGTGCTTTGAACAGTTTTAACTGAGGCTACTCTCTACCAAAGAACCAGAACGGTGTGCTTTGGCTATAGCAATACATTAAAGACCTGTATTAGTTATTTTTTTGAAGCGTTTCCATTCTGGGGGTCTAATACAGTGACACTACCTGATTATTTTCAGCAAAACCTTAAACGATGGTCTATACATCTCTTAATGGTTTGTGGTTTCTGAAAATGTTATTTGGTCACATAGAGTCACTGAACCAAATCATCAAAACCCAATATTTCAAAACTCTGTGATTTTACTGGACCTGATGAAGTGCTGTCTAAAATTTCCAGATTGTCCCTGGACCCTAAAATAGCTATAAAAGTTCAAAACTTTCTGGTCCTGATTGATGACATTATCATTCAGGACTTGATCTGCTTTAAAATATTTAGGGATGATGCACCTGAATCATCAGATGACTTCTCTGACTTGTTTTCACACAAGATCAATTGTCTCCTTTTTTCCCTTCAGACTGGAGAGAAATCTGGGCAGGTGGAAAAATCCAAGAAGAATGCCAGACAGAGACAAAATGACTTCAAAGTAAGTGACTTTGTGACTTATTTATAGTAAATGTATCATTATTAGAGTTATACTCACCACAGTTATTTTTAAACTAAATGCTTCCTAACTGTTAATTGTGCATATGTTGTATGTTTTGTAGAAAATGATTGAGGAGTTGACCAATCGACTTGTGAAGCTTATTCGGGGGGCTCTCCTCCCCGCCACCTTGCCACAGGGGGAGCTGAGTTTCTACGGAGGCTGGGAGTACAAGACTGACCTCTCTGGAGCCTGGCTTACGCAGATGATACACATTGTCAGGTTCTTGGACTGATTGTTCGATTATGTATCTCATTGGTTGTGTGATGCATTTTACTGACCTTCCTCTCTTTCTTGTTTTGTCACTCACTCTCTCTTTCTTTGTTTCCTTTCTGGTTTCTTGTCCAGGGGTTGTCACGAGGCTCTGTCTGCTTTGGAGATCCCCAATGATTTGCTGCAGGTGATCCAGGATCTGCTGTTGGAGTTGAGAGTTCACTGCCTCATAATGACTCTACTACACACTACAGAAGGTGAGGACTTTGTGAGTCTGAGGTTTTCAGTGTACAAAGCTACACAGGATACAAAAAAATCTACTTGTGGATGGAGGTGAAACGGCACCAGGACTAATCGCAAAACAATAATAAAGGTTTTGAAGCATGCACATTTGTCTCTGCCTTGTAAAGTCTAATTGGCACTGTCATTCTGAAATTGCATTGGTTTCCCTTGGTGGTGTGTATAGTGTTGTTTCCCATTAGCTAAACGTGTTAAAATACAAACTTTCTTGCATACTAACCTCAGTGACAGAAACCTGTAATGACTAATAGCACAAAGTGTGTAGACCTATACACTATAGAATGAAATTGGGCTCAAGCAAGTGATGAAGCTGTTGTAAGATTTTAGTTTTTCTAAAGGACAGTCGTGCTAGATTGTGTCATCAACACAGTGCATCCACAAATATTGTGAAGACACACATCTGTTTATTAGCACATTCCCTCACTGGATCTTTATAGGTCAGTGTCCTCAACCATCACCTGACCTCTTATAACTTCTAGGGTAGTAATGAAGAAAGTGTTTTGAGACTACCACCAGACAAGCTCAGTTTCACTTGTGGTTAGACATGGTCATTTTGAGAAGAGTGACTGGTTTCCCCTACACGCACACTCAGGTTGTGGTCTGGCCATATCACGTTGTGGTTTTTCCTCAGAGACTCTTTATTCTGTTTATATTTTCATTTGTAGTAACACTGAATGAAAGTGATCCCACTTCATATATAGGTTTATATAAGTTGGGGTTTTTTTTTGTCTGTAGAGAAATTTCATATTTGTGCTTGTTATGCTTTCAGATGTCAAGGGGCTTGCTGAGAAGGAGGACTGGGTTGTAGATAATGAGGGAATCACCAGCTTGGTAAGAAGGTGTTATTGCATCAAGCAATACTTTATATTTCATGATGAAAAAAGATGCATGCTCCTGAAATGTTTCACAATGGTTTTACCATAGAAGCAGTAACTGTATTGCACGATGCATAGTCACAAAGCCAGCAGTGTAGATGTGTAGGCCTTTTTCCAAGTAAAGGCCATGTTGCATTTATTCAGTGTGTATTAAGGTTGCTATCACTATGAAGAGAATACTGTAGGAAATCTTTTTCCATCTTGTGTCTGTAATCTGTGTTAATATTTCCTGTTTCTGACATCTGTCTGTATTTGCAGCCCTCACAGTTTGAACAGTGTATAATCCAGATGCTGCAGTCACTCAAAGAGCCACTGGAAATCAAACCAGGAGAGATGAATGTAAGAGAGATGCCTGTGATTGCAATGCAAATACACTCACTAGAACTAGAGGAGAATTGCAATGAGAATCTTAATTAACTTCATTACATTAGGTACTGATATTGATGGTTATTTATTCAGGTTCTTCCTTTCATTTGTCACCTGTCTGTATTTAGGATGGGACATAGGTAGAGGATGAATTTCATTATTGGATTAATATGGACAAAACCTAACTACAGTAACTGAGTCAGATTAAATCAGATCAGACCAACTTCTCTTGTAGTTGTACCTAAAAACATTTTTATGTTTAAGTGTTTTGAAACTGCATTCTGTAGTTGCATATTGTCAGTACAATAAAATTATTGTACAACATTGTGCTCAAACAAGGAAACCACTCATGATGCTGCTCCTTATTAGTATTCATCTAATGCCCATTAATAACCCAGTGCATTTCAGTTACATTGTTAAACTTTCTTCTTTCTCAGTTAAACATAGCTACAGTATAGTGGTTAATAACACAGATCACAAACTTTCATTTTAAACAAACTTCAATACATACAATATATAGATAAATGTTTTTGCTGATGCGTGATGCTGTGTGTTTTTCTTCAGCTGTTACAGTTGGACCAGGTTCAGGATCAGGCAACAGAGCTGAGTGTGAGAATCATGAAGGTAAGATCCAGTGTTTCCATCCATCCATCCATTTTCCTCCGCTTATCTGGAACCGGGTCGCGGGGGCAGCAGTCTAAGCAAAGATGCCCAGACACTTCCTCCAGCTCCAGGGAATGCTGAGGCGTTCCCAGGCCAGCCGAGAGACATAGTCCCTCCAGCGTGTCCTGGGTCTTCCCCGGGGCCTCCTCCCGGTGGGACATGCCCGGAACACCTCCCTAGGAAGGCGCCCAGGAGGCATCCGAAACAGA